ATGGTTGTGTCACTCATCGCTTCGGAGACTGAGTCTTTCCAACACGGGCGAGAGGCGTATTTGGTAGAAGGGGAGGAGCCAAAGGTATACGTCTGCGGGAATTTCTTTCCAGTTGGTTTACTTTCACATTTTGGGAGCATTGCACCCCCGCTAGAGTGCAAAATTTTGGGAACACTTGTTAGGATTCTGAACTAATTCAATGTGCTGTCGGTGGTAGGAATGAGTTGCAGTTGATATCAACGCACTTGATCAGGGGGGAGGATGGGAGGGGAGGGGTCAGTAAAGGTGGAACGAGCCCACCCGCGCCTTTGCACCACTGGTAGCTTTCTCGATCACTACCCGACTGATAGAGCAAGGCAGCCCGAGGCAACTTCACTCCACCCCTCCTGACACCGCCCCGACTGATTGCTGCGTAACCATCTATGTGGAAGGGGTTCGCACAGAAAATCCGGGGCTAATCTTTGCAAAAGGTTTCCCCAAAGAAAAGATGTGCCCCGGGCTATAGTCGGGTAGCTGCCAAGCTATTGCAGAGTGGAAGAAAGGAGATCTTCTGAGGATTCGCTCAGGGGACTAAGACACGGGTCATGTATTATACTTGGTAGGGATACTTATAGGCTCCGCCTGACTACATTTCCTTGTCTGGTGAGTGTCTGTTTCACCTCAGTCTTCTTTCAGCTTCGTCCAGAGATAACGTCACAAACCCTTTTGTAATTTAAAGTCTTTTCTTTTTCGGAGTTCTTTCAACAAGTCAACAATAGAACCTTGGAAGAATCCTCTAGCTTTCTGATGTTTTTGCTATGTGAAATGACCGATTGTTGTGTAGAGAAGAGTAGCTGACATTTCTCACAGTGCACGAAAGCATTCCATTGCCCTCGATGCGTTCTCTGAACGAAAACTCAACGAAAAATTGCCGATTCACACGTGCACATCGCCCCGATTGTGACAAGCTCGCTCGTAGTGAAGGGCAAAGAGCGTTGAACTGCACGCCGTGAGGGTCATACCAGTCCAGAGGGACGGCGACCTTCTCACTAACAATCATGGAGACAGAGAGGGTTCATGGCTGGCGAGGAGTGCTACATAAAGAGGATAATTAGCTGGTTCGGCGGCAGTGGCGACGTTTTTTCACTTCCCCTACGCCTACTGGAATGAAACCGCGATACGAACGCGACCACAGTACAGTTTTGTGGTATGACGGTAGCGATTAACTGATATTATTGACTTAGTGATCCTTCTGTTTACGTTCCAAGGGTGCACGGCGAGACTCTCTAACAAGTTTTTCCCACTGACGTTCGCGCAACATGACGCTATCTGTTCCGAAAATTTTTCAAAAAAGGGTTGACATAGTCCTTGATCCCTTGGGTATGCAACTGTCGCTGAAATCCACAGATACATAGTTTGAAAATAGCGGTATGCCGAGGCGGAGCCAAATGTATTTGATCCCATAAACAGTTTCAACTAGCCGCTGCTTTTCTGCCGGTTTCCGGAAAATTTCCGGATTGAGACGGTGGAGCTGGGAAACAGTGCCGGCTCAGGATCTTGAGCAGGGGTAATGGAAGGACTCTTTGTACTTGGATTCCCGTGAAGGAGATGAGAACAATTGTCGAAACTTAAAGGGGGGGGGGAATGCGGGGGTGGTGAACCACTCGAAAGGATGCTCTCTTAGGAAAACCTTAACTTTTGTTTCCACAGGACGTGCAATTTTTGTTTCCACAAGACGTGCTCTGAATATACCCCCCACACCAAAGTTATTAGCGCCTCCCGAAAAATACCCACGATGTTTAGAGTGGGCAAAGAATCCCATCTTTCAAGATACAGCACATCTGCCATATGGTGAAATTTTTGCGTATGCGGCTCTCCCCTAATATAACCTCCCCATCCGACTTTCCGTCTTCCTGTTCTTCCTGTTCCAATTTCCTATAAGCTTTTCAAGAGTTGTTTTTTTTGCAGAAGTCCTCTACCTCTCCTCACCCCTTCCCACCTCCTGAAAAGGAGATAAAGGAGAAGAGGAAATACAACTTCGGTAGGAAATAAGCACTGATATCGATCATTTACACCCCTCATGAGACCATGAAAATGCGGTCGTCTTCGTTTTGAGCGGAGGGCTAATGCCCCAGAGGTGACTATTGACAGCCTGCACATACTAATTATTCCTTATCGCAAAATGAAATGACAACTCAGGGACAAGGAGACTCTTGTTCTCTCGCCCTTCCTCTTTCTCACTTCTTCAAAGTGCAAGTTTGATGCGGTCTTTTTCCCCTCCTTGCCGCTCATTCAGCTGCAGCCCCTCATCTGTAAAGAAAAACTCAGAAGCGCGTCAATAAGTGAAGGCCATACCCGCTTTTCTCGTAGTTGTCAGAAAGGGCATGCCATAGTAGATGAGGAAAGTATTCCTGAAATCGACTTCCTTTATTTTCCAGTCCTTCGGGAGTGGAGAGGTGAGCATATTCCGCTGCAATTATGAAGCACCTGTAAACTCATCATCAGCGTCAGAAACCGTCAGAAACCCTTTCTTAATCTTTATATCTTTCAAATAAGTGTCAAAGACGATAGCCGTCAACTGCCAACAGTATGTATCCTTGTGTGCAAGTGTGACTCCCTGAATCTTGGCTTGTTCCTTAATATGAAGAACAAGAACATGGAGCAAAAAAAATCCAAAATGGCTGCTCGTCAGAGGGAGCGTAGGATGCGGTGCAACTAGAATATACGTAAACCCCCTCGCTGGGTGTCTAACGTAAGGCCTGCCGTGTGTCCAAGACCCCTAACCTTGAAACAATAGGAGGGAAGAACGTGTGGCGGTCACCGCAGAGCTAGGGTCGCTCGAAGGTCTGTGCGGGTTTTGATCTACGTGGCCGACCAACCGAGGCCCCTTACGGCGGGCCGGTGGTTTGTACAGTACTATGGGGTTAGACGGGTTCAGCAGTATGGGTGGCCTGAGTGACCTTGGAGGAGTTCGATCTACATGATCGACCCTCAGGAGGTCCCTCAAGTAAGCGACCTGGGGGCCTACCTATTCAAACCACATTACGAGTGACTTGGCCGACAGGTGGACTTCTTCGATCGTTATCTCTGAAGGTGGGTTCTCATAGTAGTCTATGATTCTTTGAAACTTCTTAATTAGTTGGAATAGGGTATGGACAAGTAGCTTTTAATATGCCTTTCGACTTTCCAAGCTTTGAAGAAGGCGACAACGCCGAAATTCAGTTGAATGACAGTGTCTGACAACTTGGTGATCAGCTGAACCAGTTTGCTTATTCATCCCTCTTATTTGGGTGAGAAGGGAAGTTTACGCTCTTGAAAGTTCGGGTTCTTTGAGTCAAAAACTCACTCAAGCCAGGCTAGGTTTCACACCATAGAATTTTTCAGATTTTCTGTCCCGAGGGAGGAAATCTTTACCCTTTACGTAGATGATATTCTGGTGAAATTCTTCACGTGTGGTTCAGCAAAGTTCGATTTTAGCTATGCACAATCCACTAGTAAAATGAATCGTTACTTCACAACGTACTTTCTATAGAAGAAAGAGGGTCAAGATAGCTGGGCCTGTAGCTGTCCCCTGAATCCAGGTTGCATATCCTGAACCCAGACTCACAATGAAAAACCTCCCACCTTTGGTGTTATGGTTGTCTTACTCATCTGAAGGATCTCAGTTGAAGCTGAGCACCTCCTGGACTTCCTCCTAGTCATTTTTGAGGACAGAGGTGGGCTCAAGTTGCTAACGGCTCTGTATGGGACAACAAAGTTCTCTTCCTGGGCAAATTCATTAAAAAAGTCTCTCTAATCAGCATGAGGGGTCTATGAACCCCCTGTTCTGCCACTTATTACGTGCACTTCATGAAACTTTTTTCATGTTTTGGAGGTCGTTTTGTTTTGTTTTTTTTTTGTCTATGGCGCTGGAACCTCACGATTGTATCTATTTTATATCGATCGACTAATGGTTAGTTTTCAGGGTACGGTGTGCGGTTTGTGGAACATCTAGCCAGACCAAAAACCGCCACCATGCAGTTGTTGAAGCCCGGTAAGTTCATCGTACAAAGTTCTAATGATCTTATCGTTGCCCTTTTATTGATCGCTTTTTCGTGCGAAACGGTTCCCAGTTTGCGACCAGTTCCCATTAAGGAGCTATAAGATCCCTAAAATTGGTAGTCACGGTGATTTACGGAAAATCGTTAGCGTCTCGGAAATTTCATTTAGTGCTCGTAAACCTTAAATGAACTCATTCACCTACAGTAACCCCTGAGAAGGAGTGTGCTAGTTCGACATTCTGTCACGTTACGTCCCAAGCCGTTAGGCTGGACGTAACGTGACAGAATGTCGAATAAGCAGAAAGAAACGTTAATAAGTTCAGTGACTAGGCACTCCCCAGAACGTTCTCCAGTAGCGTTCCGGCAGCGGGCTAATACAACGATAGAGTTGTGCCACGAAAAACATCTTTTTGGTTCTTAAAAAATGAACCCTGAAATTGCCAATGGGGAGGTGCGGTCGGAGGTCAGACTCCGCCCTTTGATCCAAAATTAGTTTTAGTTCTTTTGCTCTACATCGTGCCGGCGTAACTTTCACGAACTTCTAAGAAACGCAGAAACAGAATGCTAGCTATGAAATCATTACCAAAGGGTTCTGTGGAACCCAGTGGAACCTAAATTATTCTGGCAGCTAGATCGATCCCAGGGCCGCTCACAGTTATAATCCATGCAAACGTTAGGGCGTATGACGGGGCGTGGACTGAAGCACGGCCGGAGCGGCTTTTTTCCACAACTGATCCCATCCTGACTCCGCAATCATTGGCGGGAAAGGCTTCCCTCGCTGCCCTCGCTGCGCAGGAGCCGCGCCCCTTCACACACCCTATCGTTTCCAGAGATCATGTCTGTTTATCCTTGCCTTTTTGACCATAGGGCAATTAGCTTCAGACAGAGTTTTGGTTTTTCTTGAGAGAGATATATCTGCGCTATGGTAGTCATGTCCCCAAGTTGTCCAATTGTGGATCCTGAAGTGATGAGCCCTCCCTAGGCAGCTCTGACAGCTCTGACATGAAATAAGAAGGCACGCATCGTGGGCCCGATCTACAGGAAACTCTTATTGAAAAGCGTGGAATCTAGCTCAGAGAAGGCACGATTGTACCAAAATATCTCACAAGGGAACCCCAACAGGTCGATCCGGCCATTTGCAGTGAGATGTATAAATATGGACGTGTCTTGAGCCGCCGAATCCAAATCTGCCCTCCGATTTTGCGGAACGATTCTCCAAAGGGAGTTACGGACCATTTAATCTTAGCTCCGTTTGCTCAAGTTGAGAAGGATAACTGCATGGCTGCGGGCAAGCCGCCGATGGCCTAGTGGATAAGTGCATTGCTTCAGAGACACGAGGTCGAATGTTGGAATCCTTGGCTATCGAAATCTTTTGCTTTTCATTCAAAACACTTGGTATGAGCCCTCCGAAATTTCTATTTGGCCATTTCGCCTAATTTCTTGATTAGTTGCCAACGAAAGGCGGGCGATTCCCCATGTAGGGTTCCTCTTGAAAACTTTTTTATTATGAGGATAACCACATGTCACAAGGGTTTTTGCAATGAAATACCATCATATTCATGTTCAGCGGGTCAAACTACCCCTGGGGACAAATTTCTAGCCGAATCTGATATTTCCACCTAACTTGGAAAATGTGTGCTGTTTCATGGGTAATCGAAAGCATAGGGGAGCTCACCTACCGTTGGTGAATGGTCTCGAGATGGAACTACCTCGTGGTAAAGAGGACGATGATGCAAACGGCAAGAATAAGTAAGCCGGGTAATGTCTTTGCGAAAAGGCACATGAAGAGGTATTTCAGTTGGAAAACCAGTCATCATCAGTATGGTAGTCGTAGTATCGCTTTGGCTATCAGTCAGCCACAGCTATTCATAACCCATTTTCTCGAAAATGAGTTAGAACCTCGGATTCCGCTGGGGTGACGTCTCTAGGGGTTATTTGACCCCTGAACACGAATATGATACCTGTTTTGCGCGAAGAGCGCTGTGAGTTGCGCTACAGGTGCTAACGGCGCTGGCGCGCCCGGAAGAAGAAAAGCAATAAAGAAAAACCTCACAACTCCGCTCAGAGAATCGTTCCGCAAATTTTAAAGATAGTCTTGTGTTCATCGTGGCAAGGTGAGTACAATGATGTACATTTCGTTGCAAATGGCCGGGCTGACGTGTTGGCCTTTCCTGGTCAGCTTGTGCAAACACAGCAAAGATTAAATGGTCCGTAACTCCCTTCAGAGAATCGTTCCGCAAAATCGGAGGGCAGATTCGGATTCAGCGGCTCAAGACACGTCCATACGTATACATCTCATTGTAAATGGCCGGATCGACCTGTTGGGGTTCCCTTGTAAGAGAAGGCACGGATCGTACCCAAAACTGTAGCCCTAACAAATCGATAATCGATTGATTACTTTCAGGTTACTACCGGTTCGACATCCTTATTTTGCTCACCTATCAGATGAATCACTTCTTCGGAGTTCAGCAATTGTTCCCGATCTTCCTTAATCATACGCCGAAAACCTTCTGTGTAGGTGAGTGGCAGCTTGTCTAATCGAATTACCGTAATTTTCGGTCATTTGTGCAAATATGCGTAAATCCGGTAGTTTTTATTATGTCGTCGTTCAATGTGCGCTGGGCACGCTATCAGGCTACTGGATAATTGCAGATTTCGCGGAGGGTTAGGTGGATTGTATGCCTTATGGGGAGAGGGGGTTGGAGGGGGTTGGAAAATACATTCGTGATCAGAGTAAAGCAGAGTTCTCTCCTATTCCTCTTATCGCTGATTGGTTTCCGAAAACTAGATTGGCCTTAGGCATTTGCATGTGTTCTTAAGAATCCTTTTCCGTTTTCCGATTTTCGGGATCTTCTGAAATGCATTCACTTGAACCCCACTGAAGACGTCTCAAAACGTTATAGAGGAAAGAGCACGGGAAATTGCGCGAGTCCGCTAGGGGTCATTTGAAGGCCTCTTTGTGCCAAAGATGGATTGCCATAATGGAGGTGAAGATGAGAGGATCTAGGAGGAAGAGAGCTGCGTGGTTGGTGATCCATTTTTTTGTGCGGAAAGGGTTATCCCATTACAGCAATCTCAGTTTCGCACAAGGAGTCTTTCCCTTGTGCCCCCGGTAGATAGATTGGGGTAAGGAACAGAAATAGTGGCAACAAGTAGCTGAGAATCTTCACTTTTTATCACTTATTTTGACAAGAGACACTTTTTCTTCTCAGTTCCCCTGTGGGCAATTAACCTCATTTTTTTGGGGTATAATAGTCGTGAGCTTAATGGCAGCGCGCAAAAGAGGTCTGCAAATTGCCTCGAATCCCGTGTCCCTGAATAGGCCTTGTTTATGGTTCCTCGTCCGTTTAGGGGACGGATCAAAGATCGCAGACCATGGACAGAACAAATGCGTGTGGGCAGTAATGTTCTGATGAGAACCGTTTGGGCAAGAGGTTTCTCCCTCTTCCCTCTAGGTCCAAAGGATCTCCCTTTCCCCCCTCCCAAGGGCAAAAATAACGTCGCTGCAAATCGCATTGGCCGTATGCCCCCCTGCAGAATTGACTGTTCATGCGACCTCCTCGCTTTCCCCCACTTACAGGCTATCGATGTATCTGTCCAACATCTGCAGTTGTGCGGCTGTATCGCGTACTGTGAAGGTGGAGCGCTCATGCCTGCTTTTCCTTTGAACTTTATCTTTCTTGAGAGGTGCATAACATCATCCGCGAACGATCTTTTGCCAAGCGGAAAGCGGGATTCGTTGTCTCTAGGAAGGTTCTATATGAAATACAAGAAAGTTATCACTAAGCTTACCTGGCGGCTCGCACCGAAAATAACGCGGACAAGCTCTGGTGAACGCG